CCACAGTAGGTTTGGACTTGATGATCTATGATTCTGTGATTCAAAAGAAGTTTTTCCCTGTGAGGGTGGTGAGACACTGGCACAGGTTGCCCAGGGATGTGTTGGCTGCCCCAACCCTGGCAGTGTTCACAGCCAGGTTGGATGAGCCTTGAGCAACCTGGTGTGGTGGGAGGTGTCCCTGCCCAGGGCAGGGGGTTGGGACTGAATGATCTCTAATGTCCGTTCCAACCCCTCAGATTCTGTGATTCTATGATCTTTGTCTATGTGTGTTGTGCCTTATCTCCACTAATGAGCTGTGTATTTGTTTTAAGACTTTAACTTGTTTGTGGCTGTTGCTGAAGCTGTAAGGAGATTGTTTGACTAACCCTCGTATCCTCGAATGTCCAAACTTACCTTTGTCTGCTTCCCTCAGGATAATGTATGGCTATTGACAATGTATTTCCCTTCAGAATAAGGAGCATAGCCTTATCCTGTTCCTATCTGGGTGTTGGTGGGGGGAGAAGGATTGCCTCCTATCTCCAGCAAACAGCATGCAGCTTATTCCCATCCCTACTTTGTAATTGCTCAGTAATTGTGCTGCCTTAATCTCCTCCTGTTCTACATCCTCCTTCCCAGTCCCCTCCCAGATGGGTTTATCGCTGAAGAGGTTGATTGGCAAGTGTGACTGATGAGATGGGGTTGGCAATCTGTCCTGTGTCCTGGAGGCTATTAGTCTGTTTTATCTCTCAGCTTCTCCTAGGAAGAGTGGGATATTCTTAATCTGTACAACATTTTCCTCTCTGGATGTTTCAGTGCCTCTCATTTCAGAGCAGGAAAGCTGCTTTATTCGGCTGCAGTTATGCAATGCAAGCAGAAAAAGATGTCAACAAAAGTGCTGCTGTTTATTGTGTGATTTCTGCTTACAGAGCCATCAGAATTCCTGACCAAAACTCTTTCTATGGGCAAACACTGTATACTGCTGGACAGGTCCATTCAAATCACACAGGAAGCTCTAGCAGCACTGGGAATTAGACTCAGCTTTACTTGACCTCTATGAAATCCATAGAGTTGTCCAGTTAATATAAGCAGTTACAAGCTATCTAAGCAGCTTTGGTGCATGAGAAATGACTGATAGATTCTGGGATGAAATGATTAGTAGGTCAGTTTTCCACATGGCTGATGTGCCTCTCCATCTGTGCCTGTTTTATCTGTGCCTGCAGAGCTGCAGGGGAAGATTGGTAACACAGGGCAGCACAGAGCTTTTCTCTCATAGGTAGTGAGAACAAATCAGGCATAGGCTCCTAACATTTGGAAGTCATCAGGCAGCTGTTGGCTGGCCTGTGAGAAATGCACTGGTTGGCTTCAGCCCAGCACCAAGCAGGGAGGTGTCTGTGTCCTAAAAGGCAGGACAGGAGGATGGCACTGTCTGTGGGTGATGAATGGGCAGTGCTGAACTTGGTCAGGTCTGCTGAGTGGCTGGGAGAAGGTCTGCCATGTCTTGTTCCTAGAGAACAAGACATAGAGAAGTAGAGCAATAGAATTAGATACTTCTGCTCAGCACTGCTCATAATAATTCACCACCATAACATGAACTAAGTACTCCCAGGGCTGCAGGGAAAAGGGTGGTAAGACAGCAGTAAAAATTCTTACTAAGGAGCTAATTCTGGGTTCCCAGGGCTGCAGGGAAAAGGGTGGTAGGACAGCAGTAAAAATTCTTACTGAGGAGCTAATTCTGGGGTTTTTTCCTAATTATTCAACACCACTGAAAAGCAGGTATTGATTCTTCAGGCCAGGATTATAAAATATGAACCACAGAAATAGCTATGTTAGTCTCTCTCCTGTGTTTTTAGGGTATGAGGAATTTTTGAGTCGCATCAAGACTGAGACAAACCTCCAAATGTTGCTGCTCAGAGCCTCGTTCTTGCAGTTGCTTTGTGCAGACATAAGATCCTGCTGGATCAAGCCAGTGACAGAATCAGGGTTCAAGGACTTGTGTTTAAAAGAGGATAACAAACTGTGATTACTGCCACTTTAGATAAATAGGCATGTATTGAACCTCTCTCAAATGTGTGTGAGTATCTGTGCCTTGCTGTGCTGGAGCCACATGGCATTCCAGTTTGATCAGATAAATCATGTTTCAATTTGCTCCTCAGTGGCTGTTCTAGGATCACACTTCCACTAATGTTGTTTCTTCCCTTTTTTTTCCCTCTTGTTTATTTTGTTTTCTCCATTCAGATCAGAAGCCAAAAAGACTAAAGTTAAAAAGAAGACCAACAATCCACATTTCGATGAAGTGTTTTATTTTGAGGTTGGTATTTCAAGGGAACGGGTGATAAGCTGAAATGTTAGACTGTAGATAGTTGGCACAGCATCCTGCTCCATGTTGTGCCAGCTGTCATCTTTGAAGACTGTTTCAGAGCATGGAGCAGGGGAAGAAGAAGTGCCCAGGATCAGACTGGGTCTGCTGAGGGAACTGCATATTCCTTCAGCTCTGGAGGAAAACCTTCAAGTTGGACACTTCTGACCAACAGGCTTTACACTCCATCACTACTCACCCCAGAAGAGCTTTGAAAAAGGACAGTTAAAAATGGGTTTAAAAACAAGAAAAAAACCCAAAACAACAAAACTCAGAACACACACACAGAAATTACTGATTTTTTCCAGTCTGTGTTTTTATAGCTGCTCCACCCTGTTTTTCCCAGTCAATGGGAGGAAGGTTATCTCCTTAGGAATACTGAAAACTGTAGAGGAAAAATACACTTAAACTAGTTGTTGTGGCTTTGTATCAGTGTGCTGCAACACCAGTGCCTTTTCTCCAAGTGGGTGAAACCTCTACAGCTTTATTTAATACAGACCATTTTCAGCAAGGGCAGGAAAATGCTCATTTTGGTTCTTTCTGGCTGGAGTACTGTAATTGTGGTGTGTCCATACATATATCTGCATGTGTTTATAATTTAGATACCTCTTGAAACCTTTCATTCTGGCTCCTAAAGTACGTGCATCTTTTTCCTTTGGACATCATACTCCTGGTCTGTGTTTAAATGGGCTATTTCAGGAGACACCTCAAGAACATATCTGGAATAACAAAGTGCATGAAAAGCCAGAGCAGCACAATGCAGTTGGCATATATTGAAAAGCCCTTTCTGCTCATATGGTTTGCATCATTCAGGTCAGATTTGCATTGGAAATTGTTGCTGGCATAGGGATGGCACCTAGGGCTGTGGTTTCTTGAATTAGGGATACAAGCAGCAACTTCAGGAAGCAGAACTGTGGAAAGAGGAGCCATACAAGTTGCACAGTGCAGATCTGAAGTGCATATGTCATTCCTGGCATTGCTGTCTTCCCCCTCCTTCTGCAAACCACTCTCTTTGCCTAGGAGCTGATAGTTGTACTGACTAATTTGAAGTCTGTCTTCATGTAATGTATTTGGATATGAGGAACAGATAGAGCAAGTTCTTTATTGGCAGGAGAACTTTCTCAGTGCCCAAAGGGATGGAAGTCATGATGATTGGCCATGGTGGCTGTCTAAGGTAATCTTTCCTCTGCTAACACAGTATGTCTCATCCTAGGAGATAACTTCTCTGCTAGGGGTGAGATTTTGTGCCTGCTCAGAGCCTCCATGTGACTCTGTTGAATGGGCATAGTTGGTATGGGAGAGATCCTGAGGTGCTGAGCAGTGAAACTGCACTGAGGTGTCTGTGTTTGCTCAGGGCTGCCCAGGATTTCAGTCCTTCACCTGGCCCAGAACCACAGTCTTTGGCAGTGACACAAGGGTGATGCTCTATGTAAATAAACTAAAATGGGCTTCCTTATTCTCAACACAGGCAGTTCTGGAAGTGCCTCTCAGTGAGTGTAATCCAGGAATTCAGACTGTAAACCACAGGAACTTCACCTGTCTGATTCCTCAGCCTTCTGTGTGCTGCAGAAACAGTGTATGAATTTAAACACTGAACTTGGCAGGTTGTGCCACATTGGGAGAAGAAGGAGAGAAACAGAAAGCATCTTCCAGCTGGAGCTGGGGGGTGGGCTGGAGGCTTGCTTAGCTTGCCTTTATGCTGGGACTGGGTTGCGTGCAAGTATCAGCAGAAGCAAAACCTGAACTCAAGCCCATGCCCCAGTTGTTCTGCTAACTCAGAGCAAAATGTTTTCTGTGCTTAGGAAATGTCTGAATCAGCCAGAACTCTGAAACATAAACATACCCTGAGTGCAGACAGAGCCATCATAGATTTATGTCATTTTTCAGAGTAGTTAGTGCGGATCAGGCTAAATGTCTGCAAGGAACAAGGTTCAGTAGAGCTGCTCTGACTGGGAAATGCATTCACTAATGAGCTGTGGGCAGACCTGTGGCTGGTGCATGGTAACGAAGTGCTCTGATTCCTGTGGAGCTGCACAGATTCATGTTGGTGACAGCAGTGTCACTTGCTGCTTCCAAACAGCTTCCTCAGCCTTCCTGCTAGTCTGCTAGCACAGTGATGAGCTTTGTCTCCAGGAAGGGAGCTGAGCTGTAAGAAGCACTGAATGAATGGGTCCTTTCCTTTCTGCAGCTAAAAGGTTGCATAGATTTTCTTTTCTAGATGGAAAATTTAGAGATGAAATTAAATGAAAGAGAGGAAATTTAGGTTAGATATTAGGAAGTTTTTCCCTGTGAGACACTGGCCCAGGTTGCCCAGGGAGGCTGTGGCTGCCCCAACCCTGGCAGTGTTCACAGCCAGGTTGGATGAAACCTTGAGCAACCTGGTGTGGTGGGAGGTGTCTCTGCCCAAGGCAGGGGTTAGGGCTGGATCATCTTTAAGGTCCATTCCAACCTCTAAAATTCTATGAGAATAGAAGACTTCCAAGTTTGCTTCCATTAAAAATGACACCATTAGCTTCACCGTGGTGGCAGAAAATGTCATTTGCAGCTCTGTAGGATAGTTTGCAGGAGCAGTGAAGGATGTTTGCAAGGGTAGGGTAAGGAAATTTGTACTTAACTGCTGAGGTTGTAGCTTGTATTTAAATTCTCTGTGCACTTTGGGCTTCCCAGGTGTATTTGATTCAATGAGTCTAGACCACTTGGTCTCCACTGCTGCTTGTGCCTTTTAGTTTTTATGTGCCTGGCTCACACATACACACAGAAGACTCTGCTCAGTGTCCTGTGCCAAAGATTCCTCTCTTGGGCAGCTATATTGTTGCCTCCCTTGTTTGTGCCATCTGCATCTCACGTACACTACGAACCCAAACCAAAAAGTCAAGTGTACAATAAAAACCAGATTTTGTGAGTGGGAAGTTATTAAGCCACAAGTGTATTTAAACCTACAATAAAGCTCAGCTTCTGTGTGCAACCAAGAGCTGAAGCCACACATCATACACCCTTGCATTTGATCAGTTCCTGCTGTGGTTTCAGCTGGGTGGGGTAGCCTTTTTCTCAAGTTTCTGACGCACTTGACAAAAATACAACCATCAAAGGCTTTCTGTAATCATGCTAGAAAACAAATGCTAAGAAATGTTTCTACAAAACCCTTTTTATTTTGGTAATTCTCTACACTTACAGCTTTCTGTTTTGGTTTTTCTTTCCCTGTGCTTTGCTGTTTATCAGTTTGTCAAATAGGGTTGGTGAACTGTGCAGCTGGTTCTATGTTCTGATAGACATAACACAGGTTTGGGTCACTTGGAGAATTGGACTGCTTGGTATTTGTTGTGTGGGCAGGTTAAATTGACTTCCAGGATATCAGGATAGGCAGAAGTTCCCAATTTTAATTGGATACAACATGTTTTTAAGGGTTTTTTGGTTCCTCCCCTGCCTTCTTCAGAGTGCTTGAGGGCACCTGTTGTACAGCTGTATTTAAAACCCAGATATTAGTTGCCCTTTTATTTCCCAAGTCAAAAGAGAGGAAATTTAGGTTAGATACTAGGAAAAAGTTTTTCCCTGTGAGGGTGGTGAGACACTGGCCCAGGTTGCCCAGGGAGGCTGTGGCTGTCCCAACCCTGGCAGTGTTCACAGCCAGGTTGGATGAAACCTTGAGCAACCTGGTGTGGTGGGAGATGTCCCTGCCCAGGGCAGGGGGTTGGGGCTGGATGATCTCTAACTTCCATTCCAACCCCTAAAATCCTCTATGATTCCAAAACTTTGTACAAGTTAAATCAGAATGGTTTTGTATCAGATCAAGCTGTTAAAGTTTCCTCCTTTTTATTAGGTTACAAGACCCAGTAGCTACAACAAGAAATCCCATTTTGATATTGAAGACGTCGATGAAGTTGACAAAATGGAGATTAGGTAACATAAACCACTTTATTGGTATAAAGTTGTCTTTCAGAGTTGTGTAACTCTGATTTCAAAGTGTCAAGCATGGTTTTACTGTTGATAAATCAAGATGAGTCTGCATCACTGTATCTGTACATTCATTTACCTCCACTGTCCTGTAGATTGTATCTTGAATATGTGTGATGGTTCTGCTGCAGGAGAGATCCTTATTACTTTCCTTTGTATCCCATGTACTCTGTGTGTATACTAATGTGTGGTTGTCATAAAGCACAGCCTTTCATGTCTGGGCTCCCCTTTCTCCCTCCCTCACTTTCCCAGGGGAGCCCCGAGCCTCTGTAATGATCTCAGTTAAAGAGTGTATTTTCTTCCATCACTTAATATTAGCAACATATACAAGGTCCTTCTTCCCTGAAAGGAAACCTCTTGAATTCAGGAGTTTTGCTGGGGCAGAGGCAGTTTGTCTTCTCTTTTGCATGTCAAACTTTAACCCCTTCTTGCAAGACTGGGTATGATAAAAGTGAAATCAGTTGCACAGGAAAGAAGCAATTCTGATTTCAAAACCAAAACAACCCCACCCTACGCCTTGCTCCCCTTTTAGTGCTATTTTAAAACCTGCTAAGGTCTTTCAACTGCATCTGTGGGGACAGATGAGTATGAAGAGTGGAGAGAAAACAGTAGGAGGTGCAAAGCTTGAGAGTGTCACATGCATCATACCATCCCATCCATTGAAACTTGGGCACTAGGTGATCTGGATGGAGTGTAGCTGAAAACTGCTGTATCTGCATCAGGTGGTGAGAAATTCCCCTCTCCTTTAGGCTTGGATTTGGAGGAAGAAAGGCTGAGGGAGAAGAGTAGCACCCCCTTCCTCCCCAGGTATTCCCACTAGAGAGGTAGTGAGTCCCAGAACGTTCCCTAGTTCCTTCAGAAGCACAATTGGCTATAAGGAAACGAGGGGAGACTGGGAAGAGGGAACAATACTGAGTCCCAGCAAGGAATATGCATCTGTGTTGAATGAATGGACTGGGTACAAATTGAAAGAGGGAAATTTAGGTTAGATATTAGGAAGAAGTTGTGCCCTGTAAGGGTGGTGAGACACTGGCCCAGGTTGCCCAGGGAGGCTGTGGCTGCCCCAACCCTGGCAGTGTTCACAGCCAGGTTGGATGAGCCTTGAGCAACCTGGTGTGGTGGGAGGTGTCCCTGCCCAGGGCAGGGGGTTGGGGCTGGATGATCTCTAAGCTCCATTCCAACCCCTAAAATTCCATGATTCTGTGACTGAGGGTTGTTCTAATTTGATGGTCAGCTGCTGGTTCATGTATCCTGTCAGTGTAGGATCACAGACCATTGATGGATTTGTGTTTGCCATGGCTCTGTGAGGCAGGAAAGGGAAACTCTTCATATGTGGGAGAGACAAGAGCTGTGCTCTTCCTCTGAGAACATCAGGCAGTGCAAACATAGCTTTAGGTTTAGGGGCAACCTACAGACAATTCATGGGAGAAGCAAAGGCCCAAGTTCAGTGCTGTGCTGCTTTGCTGGGATCAGTGTTGCAGCACAGCAGATGACCTAGTCCTAGCATTAGACTGTTTTTCTGCAAAGCTTCACGTGGTGTAGGCAGGTATGAAGTAACACATTCCATATCCCATGGGATGTATGTGATGGAATGGGCAACTTAACCATGTCTTTGGAGTCCCAGACTAGTCTCTGTAACCATAATGGTCAGACATGCAATAATTTTAAATGACAGCTAAGGATTATCTGATAGTTTTTGTGATGGCTTTGGGACCCTAGACCTAGTGGACAGTGGTTACACATTGCTTCATACTTCAGTTGATTCTTATTTTGTACCACTGGACTAAATTAAAATACACAGTTGTTTTACATACTAAATATAGTTTCTGGACAAATGACTGTCTGCAACGTTAATGTATGTGGAGCTGAGCTTCAGGAAAGTCTGTCATTCCTGAAAACCAGCACATCACAGTGTGGCAGACATGAGTAGTTGGTGGGGAGGCTTGCAAAATAGTTGGGGAAAGATTAAGCACTTAAATAATAGACAAAATCAAATAAAGTGTTAGTCTTGGTTGAGCAAATTCTGCTCAGAGGTTTTGTCCCCTATAGGACAGAGTGTTTTTGTTTCCATCAGGTTCCCCTTCCACCCCCACTCACTTCCTCCAGTCTGTTTAGTCAGGATTGGATTGCCCCTGTGCCCTCTGGATAGATCATACAATTTATGGGCTCAGGGATTTATTTTCTTTTTCTCTCTTGAGAAAAATACCATTCCACAGGGTAAAGAGGAGGCTCAGTCTCTCATGGTTTCTCTCTAAAGCTATGAAAGTTTCTCTTTGTGAGTGGGTGTAGGAAGTTGTAGGCAGGGCATATCAACACTTGGGGACCAGATGTTCTGGTGCATTCATTGTTTCTCCTCCCCCTCCCTGCTGTTTGGTCAGACTGCAGTCCCAGAAAAAAAGAGTTTCAGAATAACACTTGTCATAGTTCTGCCTTTTAAAAAGCTTGGGAAAGAAATTTTTTACAGAAAAGTGGCAGCCAGTGGTTGGACTTGATGATCTTTGAGGTCTCCTCCAATCTTGATGGTTCTGTGATTCTAAGAGCAATCTTTTAGAGCCTGAGGTCTGTGTATTAAGATTTTTAATAAGTGCTGCTTATGCTTCGTACTGTGTGCAGTTCTGGGCCCCTCAGTTCAGGAGGGACATTGAGGGGCTGGAGCAGGTCCAGAGAAGAGCAACGAGGCTGGGGAAGGGACTGGAGCACAAGTGCCATGAGGAGAGGCTGAGGGAGCTGGGGGTGTGCAGCCTGGAGAAGAGGAGGCTCAGGGGAGACCTTCTCACCCTCTGCAACTCCCTGACAGGAGGTTGGAGTCAGGTGGGGGTTGGTCTCTTCTCCCAGGCAACCAGCAGCAGGACAAGAGGGCACAGACTCAAGCTCTGCCAGGGGAGGGTTAGGTTGGATATTAGGAAGAGATTTTTTAGTGAGAGAGTGCTCAGGCATTGGAATGTGCTGCCCAGAGAGGTGGTGGATTCACCATCCCTGGAGGTTTTCAAGATGAGACTGGATGTGGCACTTAGTGCCATGGTCTAGTAACCATGATAGGGTTGGACTTGATGATGTTGGAGGTATTTTCCAACCTGGTTGATTCTATGATTCTATGAGTCTATACTCCCAAAGCACAAACCTATTATTTCAGACTGCATTGCCTGCTGGGCTTACTGTGTAGTGTGAGATCTACTTTGGGTTGTTAATTCCTCTCATGCAGAGCCTCTGCACTGATTTTTCTTCTGTAACTGGGGGGGGAAACCCTTTGGCTGTCTGTGTTTGAAAGTGTTATTGCTAGTGGGCATCTCGAAAGGATTTGGGTAAACTAGAAACCAGTAGCCTGTAAATACTTGGTAAATTTTGACTGTAAATAGACTTCTCAAAAGATTCCTCACCTTCTCCTGAAGTTGTTTTTAGCTGTCTAAGCTGTTTAGCAAGAGAAGAATCCACCCAATATAGAGAAATGGGAGAGGAGGTTGAATTCTCAAAGGTTTTTTTTCCTTCTGGAGGATTCTTGTCCTGCAGAGATACTGTCAAAACATCAGAGTTTGAAGTACTTGACCTAGCAGGTGTGAGCTGATGGTATGTCTAGTGTATGACACTTGATGCATGAGACACTGTTGAGAGCTACAAGGCTCAGAGGATTTAGAAGTGACATCCTCTGCACTGGCTTAAGATAGGATAAACCTTTAGCAGGGCTATCAACATCCATTCCTTGACAAGCCTACTGTGACTTGCTTGAGACTAGGAAGGTTCCATGATTGGAATTGTCCATGACTTTGCACCTTATCCAAAGTAAAGTTGCTCTTCTAAAAATCTTCATTGTTTGAAAACCTGTATTTCTTCCTATGTATCTTTCTTTTTTCCCCAAAGCCAATGCACATCCAGACTTGTCACTTAGCTGCAAAACACTCATCTGAGTTTGGTTTATAATAAAAATGCCTCAGAGAGGAAACCTTAGAATATGTACAGAAACCACTACCCTGGAGTTTGAAACTCCAAGGTGAGTGCAGTAACCTTTGCCTACAAATGCTAGGTTAGACACCAATACTTCTGCTTTGAATCTTCCTGCAGTTGTTTTCCATCCTCATGTTAAAGAGCATATGAAAGGGAAGAAAGTGTCAGCTAGAGATCCAGATGAGAACTTCCCAAACGTGAGGGACTGAGTGCCAAAAATTGTGGAAGCTTCACGCAATACATAGATTGTACACAGTGGTAGAACTGTCCTAAAGCTTTGAATATGTTTACAGAACTGGTTTAGGTGCCCCAAATACATAAAGTTGACACAGTGGATCTTCCCAGGAACTAGAGCACAGACAAGGACTGTGTAGACATTCAGCCTAACTCTGTAAAGCTGCTGCTTAGCTGCTGATAATCCCAGATTAGACAGAGGCTGACAGGATGGAGTCCTTAAATATCTTTGCACTTTGTTTCCCCTGGTGTCTATTTTACCTGTATTTTTCCATTATGTGAGGTAGCCAAACAGTTCTCTGAATCTTTATCAACATGGGTAGTGGGAACAGTACAGATAAGAACAAGGAAATCAAGATTTTTTTTTTCACTGATGGTTCATGGAGGTGAATTGCAAAGCTTCAGAAATCCAGAGTAAGATTATCTCTTTACTGTTTGGAAACCATTCCTGTACTGTGTCAAGACTTTCTAACTCACAGAATCACAGGATAATCAGAGCTGGAAGAGACCCTTGAGGATCATCCTGTCCAGCTCCTGGCCCTGCACAGGACATCCCTGACCATCACACCCTGTGCCTGAGAGCATTGGCCAAACACCTCTGGAGCTCTGTCAGCCTTGGGGCTGTGCCCACTGCCCTGGGAGCTGTTCAGTGCCCAAACACCTCTGGGGGAAGAACCATTTGCTAATCTCCAGCCTAACCCTCCCCTGACACAACTTCAGCCCATTCCCTGGGTCCTGTCCCTGGGTGCCAGAGAGAAGAGGTCAGTGCTGCCCCTGCACTTCCTTCCCTGAGGAAGTTGTATCCAGCCATGAGCTCTGTCCTCAGTCTCCTCTTCTCCAGGCTGAACACACCAAGTGACCTCAGCCACTCCTCATGTGGCTTCCCCCAAGGCCCTTCACCACCTTCGCTGCCTCCTTTGGACACTCCAATAACTCAATATCTTTCTCCCATTGTGGCACCCAAACTGCACCCAATGTTCCAGGTGAGGCTGCCTCAGCACAGAGCAGAGCAGGACAATCCCCTCCCTCTCCCTCTGGCCATGCCTTGCCTGATTCCCACCCCCCCCAGGAGAGGATGTCCCTCCTGGCTGTCAGGGCACCTTCACTCATAGACCATGAGAGGAAAATAAAACACCAGCAAAATTTGAAAAAGTTGAAATTATTTGAGTTTAGTTTTAAATGTATTATTAATATTTTTAAATGATCTGTTTTTCTTGCAGGGTTGACCTTTGGAATGCCAGCAACTTGAAGTTTGGTGATGAGTTTCTAGGAGAACTGAGGCTCCCTTTGAAGTTTCTCCGACAGTCTAGTTCTTATGAAGCCTGGTACTTGTCATTTTTCTTTGGGAGAAAAACTAAAAACATATGTCTGCTGTGATGAATTAAGAGTAATTAGTGCTATGTAGTAATGTTTTAAAGTGATTTAATTTTTATGTTTTTCTGTAAGCAAGCCAAAGTCATTGAGCAAGTGTTAAGAACAAAAAGTTTTGAGAATGTGATTAGAGGTTTCAGTCTGTATTGCACGTGGGAGTTCTAACAGGTTGTTTTTATGATATTATTTACTGTCATGGTCTTAGTGTGTGGAGTTTTAATCATACCTACAGAAATCTTTATGATCAGAACTTCCCATGCTGCAGTTGGTGCAAAACAGCCTGGCAAATTTAATTAGAGTCTGATTCTGAGCTCTCAGGAATACATAAATACATGTCTAAGTACTCTGTGCATCTGTACATTTTATATCTGCTGCCTGAGATCATCTTCTGTTTCAGCACAAACTTTCTGTCTTAATTCTTTTGCCTATCAGGTATTTCCTGCAGCCTAGAGATAATGGCAACAAGTCACTGAAGCCTGATGACCTTGGTTCCTTAAGGTTAAATGTGGTTTACACTGAAGACCATGTTTTTTCCTCAGACTATTACAGCCCACTCAGAGATGTTCTGCTCAAATCTGCAGATGTTGAGGTAATTTGCTTGCACTGTTTGTTGTTTACCTGCAGATCAGCCTCGCAGGGTCTCTGAATGTTCTTCTTGCTGGCACCGGTAGTTTGGTAATTACCAGAGAGGTCAACTTCTTCCTTTTCAGACCTGAGAGCCTTGTTAAGCTCTGCATATCCCTGGTGCTTGTTTGAGTCCTTGCAGAGATCTTTATCTGCTTTCAGTCTGGTGGGTGAAGGCACACCCAGGAACACCAGTGGTTTTAGCAGCAGCATATTCTCTGTGACTTTCTGATTTTACATGTGAAAATGCAAAGTAAACTTTAGCTTAATCAATTGTTTTCCTTAGCTGGAGAGGAACAGAGTTTCTACAACTCTCCAACTTCCTGAGGGCTTGGAGAGAGGTGAGGGATGTGTGTCCTGCCATGGCTGCAGGGAGAGGACTAGAGGGAATGGCCTTGAGCTGAGCCAGGGCAGAGTCAGATTGGATGTGAGGAGAAATGTTTTCCCTGTGAGGGTGTTGAGGCACTGGGATATTGCCCAGGGAGGTGGTGCAGTCACCATCCCTGGAGGTGTTGAAGAGGTGTCTGGATCTGGCACTGGAGGATCCGGTTTAGGGTTTAGGGGTTCCAGCAGTGACAGGTTAATGGTTGGACTGGATGTTCTTAGAGGTCTCTTCCAGCCTTGATGGTTCTATGATTGGATGAGGAAGTAATAGAGAGCAGCAATGAGGAGAAAGACTTGGGTGCGATGGTAGATGAGAAACTCCCCATGAGCTGCAGTGTGAGCTCAGAGCCCAGAAACCAGCCCAGGCCTGAGAGGGCAGACTGAGAGAGTTGGGGCTGTTCAGCCTGGAGAAGAGAAGGTTGTGTGGAGACCTCAGAGCAACCTGCCAGGAGCTGAAGGGGCTCCGTGAGAAGGACATGGAACTGTTGGAGCAAGTCCAGAGGTGGCCATGAAGTTGCTAAGAGGACTGGAGCATCTCCCCTGTGAGCACAGGCTGAGGGAGTTGGGGCTGTTCAGCCTGGAGAAGAGAAGGTTGTGTGGAGACCTCAGAGCACCTTCCAGGAGCTGAAGGGGCTCCAAGGAAGCTGCAGAGGGACTCTGTGTTAGGAGCTGCAGGGACAGGACAAGGGGCAATGGGGAATAATTGAAGGAGGGGAAATTTAGGCTAGATATCAGGAAGAGGTTTTCCCTGTGAGGGTGGTGAGACACTGTCCCAGGTTGCCCAGGGAGGCTGTGGCTGCCCCAACCCTGGCAGTGTTCACAGCCAGGTTGGATGAGCCTTGAGCAACCTGGTGTGGTGGGAGGGGTCCCTGCCCAGGGCAGGGGGTTGGGGCTGGATGATCTCTAAGGTCCATTCCAACCCCTAAACTTCTCTCATTCTATGATTCTTGCAAGAATAAAAAACCCCAAAGCAAGAAATTACCCTGAAGTGTCAGAGTTGGACCATGTGTGCCCTTGTGATTCCTTTTGACCGTTGTAACAGTGCTTTTATTTTTTTCAGTGCCAGAACAGTTCAGTACTCACTGTGACTTGTAATTGGGAATGGTTCGATAGAGTTCTTCCTCTTCACTTGCTTCCCATGGCATTCAGTGAAATGACAGATATTAAAACTGGGAGGGGAAAAAAGAGACTGTACTGTAATGGTTTTTAAATTGCTGCCCTCTTGTGCTCAGAACACAGCCCTCAAAACCTGGGGTGTTACACCTAACCCATGGGACACGTTGATGAACTGGCCATTACAAC